ATTTTTGTGGTATTTTATTTTCTAGTTTTAGTAACAAAGAAAATAAATTTATTTTGTGTTTTCATTTATTTTCTAGTTTTGGTAACTAGAAAATTATTTTGTGTTTGTTCTGATTTTTGTAATCAGATAGTTTTGTGGTATTTTATTTTCTAGTTTTAGTAGCAAGAAAAATAAAATGATTTTGTGTTATAATTTATTTTCTGGTTTAAGTAACTAGAAGAATATGTTCTTTGAAGAAGCTGTTCTTTGAACTCTACAAAAATCTGATGTGTGGAAATATTTGACAAATAAAAATAATTAAGAGGATGGTTGATCATACTCATATGATTTTTGCACACACTGTTGATGAAATATGTTGAATCTTCTGTTAATAAGGAACACTGTGTGTGCAAAAATCTGTTAGACCCTATGTTTTCAAATTTTCATAACTCATTGATTAATCCATGACAAATGACTGGATATTTATGTAGTGAACTTCATGTTAAATAATTTCAAAATTTTCATTTTAGATTAGACAATTATGTTACTTCTAAAATTTAATTCTCATTTGAGACCCATTAAAATCCTCCTCCCTCCCCCAAAAAAACTAGAAGTGTAAATTATAGAGACCTATCTTAAAAAATAAAAAAATAAAAAAAAATCCATAACATAGTAAGACTCATAAATTAGGCAAAATTATATTGACACAACAGTTAGTTCTATTTTTATAAAAAAATTAATAGCCATATGAATAGGAAATTAATAATATCATATTTTACCTTCAAATATATATTTTGCCCTATTTATCTTTGCTTCTTTACACTAGGGGTTCGTTTGAAAAGTTGAGTTGACTTTTTGACTTTTCAATTATTTTAGTCCAGGTTAAAAAGTTTATTTAGGTTAACTTTTTTAGTTTTTTTGATTTTTGTGAGAAAAAAGAGAAATGATTATGGTTTGGATGCGACATTTTGAACTCTTTTAGGAAGTGGGTTAATAGTCACTTCCAAACTTTTAACCCATTTTGAGTCACCATCCCTCATATTTTTTACACTTTGTTTCAAAATAGTCAAAAAGTCAACTTTTAACCATCTTTCCAAAACAATCTTTGTCTTACTGACTTTTTAGCTTATTTCTTTTTGTAACTAATTTAGCCAAAAAGTCAACCCAACTCAATTGCCAAACGACACCTAATTACATTAATTTCAGTCCCTTTAGTCTTTGAAAAGAGAAACTGGTGTAATTATGCCAAAACTACAAGGTTTGTTGCTTTTGTTTTATAAAAATCGTAGTGGAGGTCCTTTGAGATATAGAGAAAATACATGTAGTTCTATAATTTTGATATAATTATACTGCCATCCCTTCTAATAAAATTAAATTGACTCAGATTAATACAAATAACGTTCAATCACAATAATAAATAAAAATGTATATATACATTTTAGTATTAAAAAAAAAAAGAGGGGTATTTGTAATTTTCTCAGTTTGGCTAGAAGCGACAAATTATAATATATAAATTATTATCCTATCATTGCTTGTTGCTCTGATTGAATGAAAATATAAAATAAAAGCACATTTCCAAATTGATCATATTTTAAGTTACCAAGGACACATACCCCAGCCTCTCCTTGGATAGGTTCAAAAAGAAATCCGGCTATCCGATCTCCTTTTTCTGCATACCATGAAAGAGAAATAATATATTTGCATCATTCATATTCTAATCTGCCAAAGTTGACATAACATGGCATTTCATAAGAACAAGATTTCTTAGGCCTAAAGTTGTGAGCAAAATATTTCATTGTAATTTAAAAATATCATCATAATTGACAAAATTCCCATGTTTAGAAACCTTTAAATATCATCTCAAGAGAAACTTCATCACCAAAATCAACTTTGAGGTGGCCAGGCAACAAGGGCCCAAAACCACGAGTAGCCTCATTGTCACAGCTCATAGAAATAACAGCCAATGTACGACCATGGAAGCAGCCACAACACGAGACAATGATAGCCTGCGAAAAGACATTATTTGAATAAAAAAATCGAAAGCGCAAATAGGATGTTATACTACTTGGCAACAAGCCAACAAAAAACATTAAATGCTAAAATGTTAAAAAAGTAATTGCCATAATAAACCGGGAAATTTATTAGAAAATCCTCTTTCAAGTACTTGTATCCCAATTAGTTCATAAGATATTATTGTATTCCAATAAGTCCTATTATTTTGGACATTTGATCCACCAAATCCTAATTCTCATATTTAAGGTATTTTATGGACAATTTTACCCTTACAAATATTTTTTGTACCCTTAGCAACTTGGTGATATGAACATTCACATTAAATAAATTTTACAGTGTGAATGTTTACATCATGGAACATGCACACTATCAATGTGAACATTAATGCACGCTTTACCTTATTATTATTAGGGGTATTTTGGTAACTATGTCAACCATAGGACTTATTAGAATATAAGAAAATAATTTGGACTAAGTGGAACATAAGTAGGTAAAGAGGGATTTATGAATAAATACCCCTAATAAACCAGGCAAATGCTAACGAATGCCCTCGAGGCATTGTTTAATATTGGAATTGGGGTGAAAAGTGTCTTGAAAATAGGTGAAAAGATTAAAAAGCGTATTGATTTCAATGAAAAGTGTATTCAATTTAATAAAGGCGCATCGTGTTCTTCTCCTTTTTTGTCTTTCCTTGTGCCCTATGGGCACTTGTTTTGCAAGACCCAATAAACAATGCAAAATGCAGACTGCTATCTGGATTAATGAACCCCAGAAATTTGTAGAAAGGGATGAAAATAAAGAAAAAAATACATTGCTAAATGAAATTAAAAATTCCACCAACATGACTCCAGAAATTTTAGGTATGTTTAAAACAGACATTTGGAGTCTAAGATAAAGAAGGAGACGGATCGAGGAATTTTCTATAAATGATTATCATAACTAGTACACCTAAATCAAGTATGTGAGTTCCTTTTCCAAAATAAATAAATAAATAATAAAAATTTGAAGAAGCACTGTTTTTAAGCATAAGACATCGGGATGAAGACGTATTTGGTACCTCATCTTTGGGAATCTTTTTCTTCTCATAGCCCCATTTCCTTGCCAACTTCAGAGCTGTTTCTACACCTTCGGCACCAGTATTCATTGGTAAGACCATTTCATAACCAAACATGCTGGTTAGATGCTCTGCAAATATTGGAAATCTGTCATTATAGAAGGCTCTAGAGCTAAGAGTGAGCCTTTCTGCCTGTTCTAGTAATGCTTTAACAATCTTTGGATGACAATGTCCCTGCAGAAAGAAGCTATTAAGTTAGAACTTAACCTCCGTTTGCTATGCAATGCAATAAAAAGAAAGTGAAGTGAACCAATACAATAAGTCCATTCAAGTGTAGGCTATAAATGTTTATAGACGGATCTCTTCATCGCCTTTGGGCTCTATCAACATGTTGGTGTCAAGACAGATGTAAAGAACAAATAATCCCTTCAGAAGTATTCATTTCCTACAACAAACTTCTATATTATCCCATAGGCTGCCCTCTCTGATGCAAATGTATACATCTCCATAAAGCATGTGGAAATGCAATGCAGATACACAAGACACAAGCACTCTTCAATTTCTTCTCTTTTTTTTTTTTTGGAAATTTTAAGAAAAAAGTAGCGCTAAAGAGAGTTTTTATCAAAATATTACTATAGAGAACAATTCAATGGCAAGTTGTGATCATGCTACTTAATCCTTCACTCTTGCAAGATACTTCTGATTTGTATATATAATTGTTCTCTACCTAATTCTAATCTGCCAAAGTTGACATAACATGGCATTTCATAAGAACAAGATTTCTTAGGCCCAAAGTTGTGAGCAAAATATTTCATTGTAATTTAAAAATATCATCATAATTGACAAAATTCCCATGTTTAGAAACCTTTAAATATCTTCTCAAGAGCAACTTCATCACCAAAATCAACTTTGAGGTGGCCAGGCAACAAGGGCCCAAAACCACGAGTAGCCTCATTGTCACAGCTCATAGAAATAACAGCCAATGTACGACCATGGAAGCAGCCACAACACGAGACAATGATAGCCTGCGAAAAGACATTATTTGAATAAAAAAATCGAAAGCGCAAATAGGATGTTATACTACTTGGCAACAAGCCAACAAAAAACATTAAATGCTAAAATGTTAAAAAAGTAATTGCCATAATAAACCGGGAAATTTATTAGAAAATCCTCTTTCAAGTACTTGTATCCCAATCACTTCATAAGATATTATTGTATTCCAATAAGTCCTATTATTTTGGACATTTGATCCACCAAATCCTAATTCTCATATTTAAGGTATTTTATGGACAATTTTACCCTTACAAATATTTTTTGTACCCTCAGCAATTTGATGGTGGCAGGGAAACGAAAATGGACCCAACAAATTTATCAATAAAAGTGAGGCAGTCATAAGTCTGACCTTCCATGCTCTCCTGGCCTGATACAAAGCATAACATCTTTGTCTGCAAGCACTGCACTTACAGGAACCACTCCACCACCCAATGCTTTTCCTAGTATCTGAACAATGTAACCATAAAATAAGTTATCTTACAGCATGGAAGCAAATTTAAGCTGTTAATAAAATATTCACAGATACTTTAATCTATCAAAAGAGAAACAACCACTCAAATAAGAACCACAAGAACAGGGGTGGAGTTAAAAAATTAATTAAGTGGACAAAACAGTGAAAAAATTAAATAATAAAATACTGACATAAACACCAATGCAGGAAAAAGAGCAGACAATAAATTTATTTAGCACATAAATTTCAATAGATACCAAACAGTTTTTCAAATTAAAAAATTCAACTTTTAAAGTTTTCAGTTTTTTATATTTCAATTTTCAGTTTTAGGAAACAATGCCTAAGTAAATATTAAAACAAAATAGAAAAATAAGCAAGCACATTGCCATTAATGTACCAAAGAAAACTTGCAACTGGAAAAAAAATGAATAACAAGATCTAAAAATATCATATGACCATAACACTAAGGAAATAACAAAGAAATCAAATGCCACAGCATTGACATACTGATAAAGATCCATATCCATAAAGGCTGCCTGAAGAAAGCATGCCTAAGCCACTCCCAGATTCAGCTCTCTGTTCATAACCCATTGGAGCAACTGGGGGAACACTAGGCAAAACTGAAGGCATAGAAAAACCAGTACCACCAGAATACATAGAATCGGCACCAGCAGAAGTATTATGACCACCTTCCCTGTCTTTTAAGACGTCATCTCGAAGCCGCATAACGATTTGAATAAGTGCATCCCTCACCCTACTAACTTCCCCAACCACCTATGCAGAACAAAACACGTCAATGGAAAGCAAGGTAAAACTACACAAAAATACCAATTATACTAAAAAGCTTATCGAAACAGCATGAAATATACCTCAACAAGTTCATCGTTGGAATCAGCACACTTGGGCTTCTCGCCTTTGGAGATACGGACATCAGCTTTAGTTCTCTTTCGGATCTCATTTATGATTGAACCACTTTTTCCAATTATACAACCAATAACTTTAGATGGAACAAGAAGCCGGATAGTTACAGTGTCATCATCTTCGTCATTTATCTTCCCTTGCAGCAATAAAACCGCTTCAACTGCTATGGATTTCATGTCATCCATGGACTGCCAAAAAAAGTGGTGCAAAAATATCATTACACATGGAATGAAGAATACCCTCAACAGCAGGTTTCCCAACCCAACAACTCAGAACATGATCCAACATTAAATAAATGGATGCAGATAAATGATGGTATTTAGATGCCATTACATACAGTCATCAAAATAAAAATAAATGGGGCACAATAAATGAAGTCAAAAACAATTCTTCAAAAAATAAAGGTATTTTACAAACCCATGATAGCACGTAGAGATGATCCAAATGTACATATATACGTGTGTGTGTGTGTGCGCGTGTGTAGTAACTTGATCTGGGTTACAATTCCCCAATCAAAGTTAAAAACAGTGAGGAAATCAAGCGGCAGAGCAGTTTCTCCCTGTCCTCCTGCTAACTTTTGGGCACTTGACAAAGAAGTCAGAATATAAATAAAAAGGAAGCAGAAAGAAAGCTATACCTCTGTTGAGGTGATGGAGATGATACATTCATCACGATCAGCCTTATCATCAACCTCAATACGAGCACCACTGGCCTGTCTCACACTTTTTATTGAACCCCCTCCCTTGCCAATAACGCGGCCAATCATGTCAGAGGGGCACAGCACTCTCACAATTAACTCCTCTGATCTTGATGTACCACCATAACCAGAAACTACAGGAAGGGCAGAAGAATAAACAGGCCAAGTGCTCCCTGCATCAGCATACCCTGAAAGTTCCGGAACATGTGTAGCACCTAGGACAGGAGGAACAGATCTGGATGGGACAATAGGATCTACACTTGGATAGAGTCCACCAGCATGATAAATAGGAACGTCTGAAGGGATAATGATGCTTGGAGGGGCTTCAGGCACATTGGTGTCAAGAGGAATCTCTTCCTTTGGACTGAACTTGTACATGATTGCTGAAATTGCAAACAATGCTCTCTTCACTGCATCGGGCTCACCAGTTACCTATTTACATTGCGACAGAAATTTCATAAACCACACAAATTTTACCAATATCAGGCCATTTCCAAAACAAATAAGTCCAAATAATTGGAAAACAATGTAAATAGTGACTGAAAGGCCACATCTGTGTTGCAAACACAATTGTGCACAAGTATTGAGCATGGAATAAAATATATGGCAACATATCGAGATTTTTAAGAGTAGAATTGCAGTCTATTAATGTTTTCTTCTTCTTTTTTTTTTCTTTTTTTTTGGGTAGAACAGAAGTACTTCAGGTAACATCGCAGTGCTTAAGGCGAGGTGGGGAATGGAACCCGACCAGTGAGTATGGGAGTACGGTGACCCATCCACTAGGCCAGGTCAGCTGCTCATGTATAAATGTGATTGAATCACAAAAGATTGCAAAATATGATGGATCGCAAATGGCTTTCCACATAATTCATATGAAATTCACTATATGATAAAAATTGCAATATATCCCACAATATTGCAAAATGTACATAGCAGTTATGGCAGAAATTATTTTGTTCTATTCACTTACCTTAAATCCATGCAGCAAAAAATATAAGTACGAACATCAATAACCAATTTCTAAATTCCATTGGGTGAAAAAATCTACTAGTATTTATGCTGTTTGAGTGAGGAAGGCATCTATTAAGAAAGCGCATCTAACAACCTAATATCAATTCCATCAGTAGGACCAACAGAGTGTTAGTAATGAAAAAGTTGAAAAACATTTAAACAGGTCATCCTTCTCTCTTCTCCAATAGTATGTGCAAATTATATATCCTTTGTAGTTTGTATTGACATTTATTCATTGGTAATGGCAAAATTTACATCACAGTAAACAATTACCCATACAAAAAAATAAATCCAGGCTACCAAAAAACCAAAATATATATATATATATATGGTTCTTCAGATACTATAACATCTGGCCGCATTACAAGAGATAGCATGTAAAATGATTTTATTTTTAGACATCATCTTTCAAAATTCAGCATTCTACTATCCAAATCCATTAAAGCAACTGAATGCAAATAAATATATACACATACCACATAATTTTCAAGTTAAAAAAATAACTAACCACAACAAAGTTGTCAAACTCCATTCCACATGAATGAGTGGGATCGCTAGCATCCTTTGCAGTAATCTTAATGTTTGTCCTTGTCTTGCTTCTCAGTCTTTTTATAGTGGACCCAGACTTCCCAATAATGTTGGCAGCCTGGCTGGCGGGAACAAGAATGTGACACTCTTCCTTGTCTTTCCACTTCTTGTCCGAATCACCAACTGAAGCCACTGCATTTGCAATTGCAGCTTGCACCTTCAGAAGAGCATCTTGGGCAGGACAAAGAGGCTCTCCGTCATCGAATTCGTCATCCACCTCTACTTCATCTTTATCCTTCACGTAGGAATAGATTAATATAACTCTATCCTTAGCACCAGGGAACGGGTCAACAACCTTAACCCTGGCCTTTGTCTCTTGCCGTATCGAGTTTATCACTTTCCCACTCTTCCCAATCACACTCCCAATAAACCCATCTGGGCATAGAATCCTATAAATGATCAGTTCATCATTACCCTTGTCATCTCTATCATTTCCCCGTCTCTTCTGATTCTTTCTATCTCCATCATGGTCCCTATGGGAACGATATCGCTTCCCAGTCTCACCCATTCTTCTATATCAATAATTGCCTCCTGATGACACCAGAAATAAGTTTCAAAACTAGCCATCCATCAAAATCAATGAAAAGGAAAGAAAAAAACAGAAGTTTGACTTATAATCTTTTGTATAATAATAAATATCTTATAGAATTGAATGCTAATTGTATTAGTCTCAGTTCAGTCACCCCAAACAACAAATCCCACAAATTCTTATCAATGAAACAGAAAAATTCAGAGTCAAGAGAGGTAGAAAAGAGAGGATCTGAATTTGTATAAAATTCATAAGACCCATTAATGAAACTGAAAAAAAAAATTAGAACTTTAATAGAGATAGATGGTTAACTCAGTTAAACAAAACAAGAATTCTTGAGAGAGACAGAAAGAGAACTGTGAGAAGACAACAGTTTCAGACAAACAAGGTTACAACACATAAAAAAATTGAAAAAAATAAAATAAAAAAAAAAAAACCTAGTAAATACAAATCCAAAGAGCGAAGAGTCTTTCAATAAACAAAAAATACAAATTATAAGAACTTATTATAACCCTAATTCGCTAACGCTGAAATACTGTTGGAAAACCTAGGAAACGATCGTACCTGCAGATGAGAGAATCCAATTGAACAAAAACCCTAGGCGAATGAAACACGAAGATGCTGAGAGAGAGAGAGAGAGAGAGAGAGGGTGCTGAGCGATGAAGTTATAGATTGCGAAAGCATTGGTAAATTCGAGGTACTATCTAGGGTTTGAGATTTTCGAACCGGTTCGATCCGGTAACCTTCGTGTTTTTTTAGTATGTTTGCTTTTTGATCTGTGGATAGTGGGCCTGTAGTTTTTTTTTGAATCGAGTGGGCCTGTAGTTGGACCGGGCCATCTCCTTTCTTTATATATTTTTTTGTTAAATTAATAAAGACCTTGGGAAATTAACTACTTTAGTTAGTTATTTAATTTTTTAAACTATTTTAATTTGGTTAAAATAATTGCATTTTTTTTGTAGTTTATTTAAGTAAGAGAAAAAATGAAATAATTATAAATTAGATGTAATATTTTATCTTATTAATTATTTTAGTCTATTTTATTTTTTAGTGGGCTATTTTAACTCAACCATTTTCTTAAGCACTCCAATTAACTCATGTAATTTTAGTCTTCGTTTGGGAATAGCTAAAATAGCCTGGCCTTTTGGCTATTTTAGCCTGGCCTTTTTACCCTCGTTTGGTTTTTGTTTTTGACTTTTGTGAAAAAAAATGTAATGATTATGGTTTGAATGTGACATTTTATCTTATTAATTTATGTAGCTAATTTTGTCTTTTGTATTTTTTTAACCAAAAAATCAAAACCAAACATAGCTTTAATTAGGACAAAGTGCATCTTAATTTCTTAAATTGATTTTAATTTTATCTAATTATATATTTTGACCTAAAAAAATAGAATAAAATAAAATTACATACGTCCATATGAGTTATAGTCAAATCAATAAGATTTTAAATGGTTAAAGAAAACATGTAATACAATATTTTAAGACGATGATAAATATTAAGATAGTTATAGATTGGGGAGGGGAAATGTGAAAGGGAAAATGTGGTGCAACTCTAAGAGAGGGATAAATGCCAATTAACGACATTGAGCTCAATTAAGTGGAAGAGTTTATGACTGTATTTGTCATGTTTCGTGCATAAGGAGAACACATTATGGGAGAGTTAACTCAGCCAAACATGTTGGAAAATGGCTTTATATAAATCTTATTTTTTGTTAACTTTTAGCATTAATTAAAGTAGGATTCAAGCGTTATTTTAAACGTTTGTAATTGTAGTCGTGTTTAATGCCACGCAGTGAATAACATCATATATTTGGTTACTCAAAATCATTTCCGGATGAATGAAAATTCAACGTGCATTTTCGGATTCATGGATATAGCTTTAGGTGAGTTTCTTACACATTTGTAAAATGTGCTTGTCCCACATTGGAAAAGCTTAACGATTTATATGGGTATATAAACTCTAGCTTGGGATACTTGGGATAGGCCCCAAGGGGTACCCAAGTTTGTAAAAATGTGAGGTTATGGGTAAAGTAAGCTAGATCCATTGGACCCAAAACAAAAACCATACGCGCGCCGCTGTCCATTTGGGTTGGGCTTATTCGACCCAATACTTATCTTTTTGGGCAAAAACCATTTGTATTTTTTTTATTTATTTTTAATTTTGATTTCAAAATTTAAAATAAATTGGTCAAGTTTTTTTCCTTCACCTAAACAGATCCCGAACAAGTTCATACCTATTGAATCCACCCCGAACAGGTTTTTCTACCTGTTGAATTTGTCTGAACAGGTTTCCTATCTGTTGGCACCTATTCGGAAAAGCCACATGTTCTCCTAAATACACCCTGCCATTCCAGCAATTATGGGCATCCAATTTTTCCTTAGTATTTCATCTTTCTTCTTCAAGTTCGTCTTTGTGCTCCTATATCTATCTACCATTTTAGTTTCTAAGAAAAATGAAGAAAGAATTACAACATTGTTTGGTTCGCCAGACTTGGTCTTGTAGTGCTGCAAATCAAGTAGATAGTTGTTGCATCCGGGAAAGTAGACACTGTTAAATCTCGAAGCACAGGAACGAGGGCAAAATCTATTTTAAAGAGATTGTATCCAACACAAGACTTGACTTATATTTTCTGTAAGCAATTGATTTGGAATTTAGTTTATATAATTATTTTTTGAATTTTTTATTTTTTATTTTATTGTTTATTTTTATTTATACATTTATTTACACATACACACATCCACTGTGGGAATAACAATCTTAAAGTAGATTTCTTTTTTTTATTATTTGTGTATTAGATAGACGAATATTTTGTTTTGGAAAATTAAATAGTAGTCATATACTGTTTAATTTCTTAAATAGTAGTAATATGCTATTTAATAATTTCTTTGATAACATAGTAGTCATATACTGTTTATCATTGGAATTTTGTTACAAAATATTATTCTGTATATTTTGTGTGTAAATTCTATTCTGTATGAATTTGTGATTGATACATTATTATTTCGTCAAAAATATGAATATTGAAACAAACAGTACTGAGACTGTTCGTACTTCGACCCCCATACCCGTTGTGCCAATGATGACTCCGGCAGTACTAGTAAATCATGGGGAGAAGTCAGAAAAATTCAATGGAAATGATTTTAAAAGATGGCAATAAAAGATAATGTTTTATGAAGCTTCGGCACTGAACGAGGGAGAAACTGACTGGCAAGTGGTTGTCGTAGTCAATGCATGGAAACATGGTGATTTTCTGTGTCGGAATTATATCCTCAATGGGTTAGACAATACACTGTACAATGTGCATAGTGTCAAAAGCACTGCAAAAGAATTGTGGGAATCTTTAGATCATAAATATAAGACAAAGGATGCCGGTACAAAGAAATTTGTTGTCGGTCGTTTTTTAGATTTTAAAATGATAGATTCCAAAACAGTTATTAGCCAAGTTCAAAATCTCTAATTAATTCTCTATGACATACATGCGGAAGAGATAGTTCTCAGTGAATCTTCCAAGTATCGACAATCATTGAAAAATTGCCACCATCCTGGAAAGAATTCAAGAATTATCTAAAGTATAAGCGCAAGGAGATGAAATTAAAAGAACTAATAGTGCGACTCAGAATTGAGGAGGACAACCGTGGTTCCGACAAAAAGTCAAGAAACCATGTCATGCAGGCTAAAGCAAATGTTGTGGAACATGGACAAGGGTCCCAAACAAGGATCCACTAAAAAGATCAACAAAGGAATCAATAACGAGTTCAACAAAAGATTCAAAGGCAAGTGTTTTGTGTGCGGCAAATATGGACATCGCACTAAGGATTGTCACGTTCGCAAGAACGGAGGGAGTTCAAGCAGAAAGCCAACACAAGCCAACATAGCTGAAGATTTTTATCTTTCCGATGGAATGACAGACATCAATCTTGCTGCAGTAGTCTCTGAAGCAAATTTGATGGGCAATCCCAAGGAATGGTGGGTGGATACTGGAGCAATCCGCCATATCTGTGTAGATAAAAAGATGTTCACAACCTACAAAGTGGTGATGGGGAATAACTTTTTATGGGAAACTCCTCCACTTCAACTGTAGAAGGAGAATGAAAGATTGTGCTGAAAATGACCTCGGGAAAATAACTCACTCTTAACAATGTACTCCATGTGTTAGAGATTCGCAAGAATTTGATTTCTGGGTCATTGTTGATCAAGAATGGGTTTAAATTAGTCTTTGAATTTGATAAGGCTGTACTCTCCAAGAGTGGAATGTATGTGGGGCGAGGTTACATGAGTGATGGGCTTTTTAAGCTCAATGTATTAACTATTGTACCAAATTTGGCTATTAATAATAAGAACACATATTTTGTTTATATTGCTGAGTCTTCTTTTTTATGACATAGTAGATTAGGACATGTTAATTTTAATTATTTGCGTAGACTTGTTTCTTTAGAATGTTTACCAAACTTAGAATTTAATCCTAATCATAAATGTGAGATTTGTGTTGAGGCAAAACTCACTAAGGCATCACTTGAGGTTGAAAATCAACTTGGTAAAACTATTAAGGTAGTGAGGAATGACAAAGGTGGTGAGTATGATGTACCATTTAAGAAATTTTGTTCTGAACATGGTATTATTCATCAAACCACTGCACCCTATTCTCATCAGTCAACTACAGTTGCTGAGAAAAAGAATTGAACTCTTAAAGAGATGATGAATGTCATGTTGATTAGTTCAGGGAAACTTCAGAACTTGTGGGGGAGGCGATTTTGTATGCTAACTTTATCCTTAACAGGGTACCCCACAAGAAAATCAATCAAACACCTTATGAAGTATGGAAAAGTCGACGACCTACCTACAATTACCTCAAAGTATAGGGGTGTTTGGCTAATGTGGCAATCCCTAGTTCGAAAACGACTAAGATAGGACCAAAAATCATTGATTATGTGTTCATTGGTTATGCAAATAATAGTAGTGCATACAGATTTTTAGTT